CTTTCCTGGGCAACCTGCTAGTCTTGTCTCTGGCATCTGGTGGGTGTCCACTTAGCCTGCTGCTAGCTCTTCAACTGTGCCTGGCCTGGTGCCGGGTGCTCCCATAAGTGTCATCTCTCTGTATCCTCACAGGGACTCTGTGACACTCGTGACATCATCCTGCTAAGGCTAGAGGAACTTTCACTTCATTCATAGACTCATTCAACAAACGTGTTTAATGAGCGCACCCACCATGCCACAGGCTCTGTGGTGTTACAGGGACATGGGAGTGGACACCCAGTAAGCAGACTCTGAGATGGCTGAAGTTGGTGTCTAGCAGAATGGCGAGGGAGCATTCTTGGGGTCCACACTTTGGGAGGGCAGGGGAGGAGCCGGGTGAAGGCAAGCCATGTTGCTGGCAGCCTTGCTAGAAATCTTGGACAGCTCTATGTGCAGGTCTAAAGATGGAGCAGACCTTCAGAGCAGACCTCTCCCCTCTCAACCTCCCAGTTGAGAGGGGAGAGGCAGACCTCTATGCCCCCCTCTCCCCACATTTGTCTTCAGACAGAACTTGTCAGTCCTTGGAAGGGATGTCACCTTGTCTACCAAGGCCGTCCCTGAAGGGTGCTCTTGGCTGGGGGCAGTCTGCTGCTAGCCCTCCCAGCAGCTGGGATATCTGAGCATCGGCCATCAGAGAGAAAATCTCTTTGTGCTCATGGGGACTTCATTCAAGGCGGGGAAACAAATGATCAATGAATTAACATGTAAACAAGCAAGATCATTACACTTCCCTTAATAAGTTCAAAGAAGGACAGAAACAAGTGCTCATTTTATACACGGGGAAGCTGAGATGTCCAGAGGTTTAATGGCTTAAAGCCCCATCTCCAATCCTGGTCTCTGGCTACAAAATTCAGCCCTCTCTACTGTATAAGCAGGCCTGTGCTAATCACCTAGAACCTCAAAAGTTAAGCTAAAGAGCTGGTCTTGATCTTGTAGGGATTGAGGAGGCTCTGGAGGGAAGAAAATACAAAATGACACTGGCACAGGCATGCAGAACTGGGGACCAGAGTTAGCGACTTAGTTAAGGCACAGCTTTAGAAGTCTGAGTCCTGCAATGATGATGTGTTCTGGGACTGGTGGTTGCAGATGCTTAGGATGCTTTTTGGCTGCAGGTAAAAGAAAACTGTAGCTTCAAGTGGCTTAACCAGCAAAACCACAGAAGTGGAAGTTGCCTGGGGTCAGGCTGTGGGTTCAGTTGAACCAGTTTCTCAGCAGCTCATGAAGGAGCCAGATTTCTTTTGCTCTGCTACCCAAGGTTACTTCCTCTTCTGGTCCTAAGGTGCCTGCTCGTCACAACTGGAGTCCTCAGTGGAAAAGCTAAAACCTCCACTCAACCATCTAAGTCCTTTTCTTCCATCCAGTTAAGTCACATGCTCAGCCCTGGACTAATAGTTCATACCAGAATAATTTACCGTCTCGAGTTGGGATGGGGTCAGCTTCCCTGGAAGCTGAGCGGGAGGAATCAATACAGAACCAAATTCATGGCTCTCTTAGGAAGCAGAAAGAGTGCTGGGGATGGATACTGGGGAGAGAGTCAGCCTTACCTGCTATGGCGCACAAGATTGAGCAGTTTGAGGGCAGGACACGGTGACAGATTGGATTGAAGGGGAAAGACCAACATTTTTTTGTTTTTTTTTTTCAGAAACAACTCCAAGGTTTCCCATTGCCATGCTCGGGATGGTATTATCTCGTCGACTGAACTCAAGGGGATGGGGGACATTTCAGATCTGATTTTGGGTAATTTGAGTTTGATGTGACGAGGAGACATTCAAACTGTATTGTTTTGCAACAGCTGGAGCTATAGGTCTTTGAGCTGGGGCTCCAAGTACTGCAGGACAGAGCTCAGGAGAGGACTGCTGAAGTGGTGACACGGCTGCAGGTCCCTGAGAAGTGGAAGCTGGAATCAGAAGCATGTGGGGGAGCCGGCTGGGGCAGGGCCTGAGAAGGCAAGGCTGGTGGGAGTTTGAGAGGCAGGGTTTTCCTGGTAGAGCTGCTCATAGGAATTTATTGGACAAGGGTCTCTGCTCATGTGCACAGTGACAGGGTACAAGGGTGTTCACCCCCTTGTTGTCTGAAATGTTAAGAGACTGGACACAACCTAAATGTCCATTGCTATGGAGCTGTTTAATTCATTATGACACATCGGGTATATGGAACCTCAGGCAGCTGTTAAAAAAGGAGGATGCAGGACCTCCGTGACTGCAAAGGAGGAATCTCAAACATATGGTTAGGTGGGAAAAAGCAAGATGAAAAGATGGGTATAGAATACTTCCATTTGTGTTAAAAAAAAAAAGAATATATGCTATCCAAATGTGTGTTTGCGTATTCATAGACTGTTTCTGGAAGGTATCAAAAGAAACTTCTAATAGCAGTTGCCTCTGGGTGAGGTTCTGGGAGCTTGGAAGACTTACTTTTTACTTTTTACCTTGCTGGCTGTTAGAGTTTCTTTAGCCATGTGCATTTATTACCTATAAAAAAATGTTAGATCATAAAAATAAATATATAAGAAACTGGGTCTTGGGTGTCAGAGAGTCCAGAGTCCAGTCAGAGAGGCAAAAGTCAGGGAGAGGGGCCACAGGGGAAACTGAGGCACAGGCTGTCCACTTCCTTGTGAGAATCCGGAATAGAAGGAGGTGGGCGTAGCTGGTTGGGTTCATTGGGCATCACTGCAGATGCATGGGATGCAACTGAAGGTCCCCCTGGGAGCTCTGCACAGGAGGTTCTGCTCAGGCTCTGCCGTGGTTTGGGGTTGGGTCCCCTATGTTTAGCCACCAGAGCTGCAGGGAGGTCTAAGCAGGTCTCTGGACTGCCCAGTGCTTTGGCTACCTTTTAAGAGACCTTCAGATGGGTGTTTTCTGGCAATTGAAGTACCAGAAGCTGAGAGAAAGGCTATGAGGTAGGAAAAGGAGCCTAGGAAGGTATCATGTGTGGTCCTGAGCCTTCATCTACTACTGCTGAGTCCGGGGGTTCCTGACCTCTGTGGGGGAGGGAGGAAGGCTGGTCTCTGCCTGTCAGCCGCTGGTCGTGCTTGAGCTGAGGGAGCTGAAAGGGGGAGCGGGATGACTTGGCTCTCAGGGAGCAGAGATCAGGGCTCCTGTTTTCTTTTTCTTTCCTTCTGTTCTTTCTTTCTCTTTCTTTCTTTCTTTCTTTCTTTCTTTCTTTCTTTCTTTCTTTCTTTCTTTCTTTCTTTCTTCCTTCCTTCCTTCCTTCCTCCTTCCTTCCTTCCCTCCCTTCTTTCTCTTTCTTTCTTAATTCAAGTATAATTAATGTACAGTGTTATATTAGTTCCAGGTGTACAAAATAATGATTCAACAATTCTGTACATTAGTGTTCATCATGATAAGTGTATTCTTGATTCCCTTCACCTATTTCACCCATCCCCACTGCCCCCCGCCCCTGGGCAACCACCGGTTTGTTCTCTGTATTTAAGAGCCGGTTTTTTGGGGGTTGTCTCTTTTTTTTTCTTTGTTTTCTTGTTTTGTTTCTTAAATTCCACATATGAGTGAAATCATATGGTATTTGTCTTGCTCTGACTGATATTTCATTTAGCATTATACCGTCTAGGCCCATCCAGGTTGTTGTAAATGGCAAGATTTCATTCTTCTTGATGGCTGAGTAATATTCCATTTTATGTATATACAACATCTTCATCCATTCATCTATCAGTGGGCACGTGGGCTGCTTCCATATCTTGGCTATTGTAAATAATGCTGCAATAAACATAGGGGTGCTTATATCTTTTAGAAATTAGTGGTTTCATTTTCTTTGCGTAAATACCCAGTAGTGGAATTACTGAATCATGTGGTAATTCTATTTTTAATTTCTTAAGGAACCTCCATACTGCTTTCCACAGTGGCTGCACCAGTTGGCATTCCCACCAACAGTGCACAAAGGTCCCATTTCCTCCACATCCTTGCCAAGACACGTTATTTCTTGTGTTTTTGATTTTCAAGGCTCCCATTTTCAACATGGAAATCTTTACATGATGGTCCAGGCAAACAGGAAGAGTATTAACCAAAATAATAATAATAATAGTAATAATAATAAGAAACCTTAAGTAACAGAGAATCCTAGACTCTTCAGGTTGGGTGGGACCTGGAGAAAATTTGTTCATTGTTTTCTGAATTGTCTCTCTCAATATACTAAATGTGTAAGTTACCTCAAGATCATCTAAACTGTATACTACAGCTCTCCTTAAAAAGCCCATGTACATGAGAGTATGAAAGCCTCTGAAAAGTCCTGTTGTAAGAAAACCTGTCTCCCTTGGTCCAACCAGCTTTTCCCAAACGCATTTGCTTACAGAAGCCTCTGCCCCCCTTTTTTAGTGTAGCCACTCAGTAGTGACCCCCAGACCAAGCTTTGGGAGGTGATGCTTTAGTTTAAGCTTCTTCTTTCGTAGATGTGGTAAGTAAGGCTCCAAGGCGACATGGCCAGTCAGTGATGCAATGGAGGCAACAACCTTGATCTCCTGCCTTGTGTTCTGTAGGCTGTCTGTTAACCTCTATAGTTCATGATGAATTGAGATGCTAGATCATTATTTCTCAAACTGTGTTCTGTGGAACCCCACTCTCATGAGGTGCTAATGAGTATTGAGCTAGGGACACATCAGCTTAGGACCCACCCACAGAATTAAAGAAAGATGCACAGATTGATTGGCTGTGGGCTTCTCAGAATCATTAACATGGTGATGTCTCTGCAAATCACCAAAGGCAGGGAGGTATAAGATTCCCCAACTTATTTGGCCAGGGAATTCCTTTTGCAAGGGACTTCTCCCTGTGGATTTGTTTCATGTCTAGAGTTGAGCTGAGTAATTCAAGTCAAGATCAGTAAGGTTTATATTGGTTTCTGTACCTATTCCCACCCCATCCCAAGTATTCCTGTCCTTTCTTTGTTGAAAAGGAAATTGGTCAATGCAACCAGTGACCTTCTCCCCCTCTGACATTTGTTCTTCCATATTCCAGAGCAAGGAGATTGGCCTGCAGATGCATGAGGAGCTCCTGAAGGTCACCAATGAGCTCTACACAGTAAGTCCTACTCAGGCTCTGCTGCTGGGCTTGGGATTGGGTCCCCTTTCTTCAGTACCAGGAGCCAAAGGAAGTCTAACCAGAGACCTGGGATGACCCCGGGCATTTTTGCTGTGTCTTGTGCTCGAGTGACAGGGGTTTGTCATGGTGGGATGTAATGGTTTACAACCCTGGCTTCTGATTCTATATGCCTGGGGTGGGGCCCTGGGCATGTTTAGTTTGTATACGTTCACAAGAGACCTGCATGACCTGCCAGCTGTGGGAATGTGTTACCTACCAAAGCAGAAGACACAAGGTCAAGGCGGGGACAGCATGGACACAAAACCTCCCGAGGCAGGGATGTGGGTTTGGGGTCAGGTGCAATGGGCTGAAGTTGAGGTCTGCTCCCTATTGGTGATGGAAACTTAGGCAGATATGTAGCTCATCTGGGTCTCAGCATTCTCATCTGCAAAATGGAGCACTGTTCTGAGGAGTCACATGAGGTGAAGGAGGTGAGCATGCCTTCTCATCTCCAAGGAATGATTTCAGAACATTACAGCCTGGCCCAGAACTGACCTTGCTACCTACGTGGAGGCAAGATCTCACTGAACTTGGGATAGGTATTAGAATCCAAGAGGGTCAGGAAATGGGGAATGCAGGCACACCAAGTTATGATGGAGGAGTTTACTGATTGTTGCCCCGAGGGCCCTTGGGCTTCTTTATGGAGGAATGTGGTGAACCTCAGGGACAACCTAGGGGAGTGGGGTCAGGTAGCCCCCGCAAGGGGAGCTCCAGACCCTTCACCCTCAAAGACAGTCAGGGTAGAATAAAGCTGTTGTGTTTTAAATATGTTAGGGTTCCTTTTAAAGTTTCTCATTAAAAGTGGGGATTCTGCTGCTAAAATTATATTTGAGGAAGGGAAAGAACAATAGGTTGCTAGAAGACCCCTCTCTTTGGTGTTATGATCTTTCTGTAGTCATGTCCTGTGTGGCCAGCAGGTAGTGGACTTCTCAGAGGCAGAGAGCTATTGCCCAAGAGCCTGGACCTCAGGTTGGAATTCCTGCCTCAGATTCTAACCAGTGATGGTACTTCTCTGGGCCTCAGTCTCCCACTCAGTAAAATGGGGGTGAGAGCTCCTAGAGGTTAACCTGTTGAGAGCTGAAACTCACATTTCAGTTATTTCAAGTTAAGGAGCACAACCTGAGCGCCGGACAGTTTTTAGCTAGATCATCACTTAGGGGAAGGGAAGAATTGCTGCTTCTCAAGTGACTGAGTCAGCTGCACTGTGGGGGGAGAATCGTCTCCAGACCCTAAAGCCAGAGACCTGGGTTCAAATTCAGTGTTAAACAGAAATTATGACACCTACGTCTTGCAGACCCCATGGGAGTTGAGGGATACCAGATACGTAAAGCATGCATAGAACAAAGAACAAGAAGGCACAGTGTATTAGAAGTTCTTGTACTACCATCATCATGATTTCTGCCTCCCTGGCGAGTGTGAACCCGACTGTTGTGCCTCCCCAGTAGGGGAAGGGTGGTGACAGATGTGCAAAGCTGGTCACCAGATGCGCCTTCCTTACTCAGAATTCTGCAGAGGATTTGGCTAGACCAGCGTTCCCCAGTCTAGGTCCTTTTAATGGTCCTCAGGCACCTCCTTGAATGGATCACTTTCCTCTGTGGCATTTCAACACCTGGGTCCTGGTGCCAGGGACCTCCCCCCCCCAAGCCACTCCCACCCAGGTCTCTAACCTTTCCTCTGGGCTCCAGCTGGGCTCCTCTCCTCCAGGCCCTCTGCTTACCCCTGAGTACCACTCTGCTCTGCTCCTTTACCCCAGCCCCTCCCCCTGCTTACAGTTGCCCTCTTTCCTTCTCTGCTTGTGTGTGTCATACTTATTTTTCAAACCCAGACCAAACCCCACCTTTGGAAAGCTATTACCTCCAGGCTTTGAATTCTTACAGCAGTTTAAAAAAACCTGTCATGTTATCCTCATGTCCCCAGTTGGCATGTAATCTCCCGAGAGCCAGATCTTGGTCAGTAACACTGTACTTAATGCCCCGGGACTCAGTTTGAACCCAGCATGTGGCCTCTGGCAGGTCACTTCACCTCCCAATCTCACCTGTGATCAACAGACCTGGCAGGTTGTAACCCGGATGAAGCAGGCGGGGATTGGGAAGCTGGTGCTGGGGCCCAGCACGGTGCCCTGAATCCAGCAGTCGTTCCACGCACACTGGCCTCTGCTGGCCACGGGGCAGGCCACCTGGACAGAACTGCTGCTGGTGGCAGAGGCTTAGACCAGGCTCATGGCAGCCTGGGGATGGCCTCAGAGCTGGTGAAGGAGAAAGAGCCAGCACCTCCCCAGCTCTCTCCTATAGCCAATTGTGGAGGACTGGGGCCTCAGAGGGCCAGCAGCACGCCCCCGCAATCATTTATTGACTGCACACAGAGTCTTCAGTGGTTGCCCAGAAATCATTTAAATTTGAGCATTTGGGGCTACCTGCTGCGGACCCAGTGCTGCAAGAGGCACAGCAGCGGGCTGGGCTGTGAACATTTCGAGAGTTATCTTTGAAGTATCTTGTACATCCCCAGTGTTGCCAGGGCGCTTGCTGAAGCAGAGGAGAGGGATATATGAATAAATGAAAGAAAGTGGTTTTGCTCACAAATTTCGAGTCTGGGTGGGGAGACAAGAGTAGAGTACGTGAACTGGTGATAGAGCAGTCTAAGATGGAGTGGAGTGCGTGCTGGATACATGGGACTCCGAGGGGGGCACCAAGCCCGTGAACCCTGTGAGGGCTGCCCCGTGTTCTCCGCTGTGTGCCCAGAGCAGTGCTGGCACACAGTAGGCGGCCCACACCTATTTACTGAGTGCAGAATCGGGAGGGAGAGTGAGTGCATGCAAGAGAGATCGAGACTTCAGGAAAGTGCTGGGTCCATGTGGGCTGCCGTGATCAAGAGTGAGTTTTGAACTTGGTGCCTTTGGAGGGGTAGGAATGAAAGAAGCAGAGGGGAAGAGAGGCGGGAAAAGGGAATTCTCAGCAGGGGCGGCAGGGCAGGATGCCAGCAGAACAAACCGATTACAGACCGATCTGGGTTTGAAGTCTCACTGCATCACCTACCAGCTTGGCCAAGCCAGTTGACATCTTTGGGCCTCGTTTTCTTTATTGCCAGAACAAGGGTAGTAACAACTGTGGCCATTTCATGAGTGCTCTCACACTGTAATAGGTACTTCATATGCATTATTTACTTAACGTATTTTACCGATAAACTGAGGCACAAAGAAGGACCTTGCTTGAAGGCCTTTGTAGCAGTTTTCAGTGGCTGCACAACAAACTATGTCAAAACTCAGTGACTTAAAACAACCACCATTTTATTGGCTCATGATTTTGTAGGTCGGCAGTTTGGGCTGAGTTCAGGTAGGGCCACTGACATGACTGCAGGCTTCTGGCCAATTAGAAAAAGAGCCTCATGTGGGAAATACCCAGTGTGCCAGCACTTTTCAAGCCTCTACTTGTGTCCTACTTGCACATGGGCTATTGGCCAAAAGTCACACAGCCAAGTCCATGGCAGAGGCACGGAGAATAAACATCACCTCTTGATGGGAGTTACATGCCAAATCACAATGCAGAGGGGCATGCTTGCAGCCAGGGGGGCAGCCACCCAGCTGCGAAGGACACCGTGGACCCCAAACCCCTGCTTCATTATTAGGGATTTCTTTCAAGCACTTTCTAGTTACCAGGCCTGGTTACACAACTTCCCCTCCTCTCCCAGCCCTGGAGTCACGACCACTGGTGACTGAGGAACTAATGATGTTGAGAAAAGATTATTCAGTAAGCCTCACTTTTGTTCTTGTGATGCTTTCTAGAGGAGGGGACGTGGTCAGGGGGTACTACTGAGCACAGCGATGATGGAGATAAATGCTAAGGGCCATCTGTCCCCCACTTAGGGAAAAGGCTTGTCTCCATCTGAGACCAGGGTGCAGAGGAGACTGCAGGGCTGGCCATTTGTTCGTTCATTCGTTCGTTCGTTCGTTCACTTGTTCATTCATTCACTCAAGAAGCCTTCCGTCTGACTTCATCACCTTGAGGTGCCCTCCTTTCTAAAACATGCCAGCATGTGTGCAAACACACGTGCATGTGTGAGCATGCATGTACGCCCCCCCCCCCCACGCCCCACCTCACCTGTTTTTCCCTGAACTCCCATCAGTCAGCCTGACACAATATAGCCCTTGATCATCATATGTCGGCCTGGGAGGAAAAAAGGGCAGAAGTTGAGAGTGTAGGCCAATGTGCTAATCTTTCCAGAAGAGGCAAAAACAAAACAAACAGACAACGAAAAACCCCACTGTGTTTTCATCCTTTAGCTAAAAATATGTTCAGATTTTCAATATAGTCCTGGATCATGAAATGTATCTGTCGTGTTTTGAAGCGACAAATGCTGCAGCATCCCCCGGGTGGCCCTTTCTTTGTGCTCAGTCGCTGTGCTCCAGGCTTTCCCAGGCAGGGCTGCCTGCTGTCCAGGCCCCTAGCTGCGGAAGGGCCCCCCAAGACTTGGGTTGGGGTGACGTGGAGGGGGCCCGAGGAGGGTCCACACCCAGCCACAGCTGGTGACAGGTAGAGACTGATTGGAGTAATGAGTGGACTGTACTTTCCACTTGCTCAGGCTTTGATTTGATTTTGTGTTGGGCTCAGGGGTATGAAATCATCTCTGGGCCCCCAGGCAAATTTTTGCGAAGGCATCTCCTATCTGATGTCCACCCTCAGGGATATAGGTGGTGGAGAGAGCCTGAGACTAGGAGCCCAGCCTTCCGAGTTCTGTCTCCAGCTCCATCCTGGGCTCACCGCGAGTCTTCCTGGAATGACGCCTCCATGTCTGTTGCCATTCATGGTTCCATCATGTCAGTGGGCCTTCTCTCCTTTCTTTAATATTTTTCTTTAAATTGACTCACTTAAAAAAAACAAAAAACAAAAAAAAAACTCCCTGTCCTAATGAATCAGTGGGAAAGTAGCCTTGTGCATTGAGAAGAT